GCCGATGGAGACGGGTCCGGCTGGGTGGGGCCGCGAAGGGCTGAGATACTCCCCCTGCCCCACTCCGAGTCCGCGCACCCCCTCCCCGGGGTTCCCACGCGGGGGGCGGGCCCACATTCCTGTCCCGCCCTCCACGGACGCTGGGCGTGCGGTAGCTTGTGGCTTGTGTCCGGATGCCTGCGGCTGCCCGCCGGCTCTCCCTGGCCCTCCTCCGCCCTCCCCGAAACCTGGTCCCGCAGCTGGGAGGCCAGTTCCCGAGCCAAGCGTATGGACATCAATTAGGGTCGCTATGAGCTGGCACCCACGCAATGGCAGGGAGTTTTCGTTTTTAAAGCTAGTGGATAAGATTCCAACTCATGGCATCAAGTCGATTCTGATTCAGACCAACCACGGGGCTCCTGTCAGGTCCCATAGTAAACTGGAGTCAGCATGGACCCCATGGTAGTGAGTAGGATTTTGGGGGGACAGACAGAACTGCTCCTTTGTGCTTCCTAGGCTGTAAATCTTTTGGAAGCAGAGAACCTCATCTTTCTCCATAGGCACAGCTGGTGGGTTTGAACTGCCCACCTTGTGGTTAGAAGCCCAATGTTATGCAGCAGTGCCCCAGCGGTGGGGCACACAAACCCAGGCCATGCTTCCTAGAAGCTGGGCTTAGGGGGAGACAAACAAATGTCAGGGGAGGGGAATGTCCCAGATGTCCATGAGGATAGCAGAGAATGGTCCTTGGCGGGCAATCATGACCCGAGAGAGTCCCATGCTACTTCCTGACACCTTCTGCTCCCTGCAGGAGCCTGCTCTCTGCCACTCTCTGCCAGGCCAGGGCAGCTTCACCCGTTCTAGGTCCCAGAAGCACCCTCCAACCCCCTACACACACCTCTGGAGTCTCCAAGAATGGGCATTCTGACTCTCATCCACTTCAGAGTCCACCCCAGGGTGCTGCCCACAGAGACCCTGACTTGACTTTGATCTCTCTGGGGATGCTGAGGGCAGAGGGAGGTCACTGGGTCACTCTGTTCCTGGTTTGCTTCCTCTGGGACGGAACCTAAGGAGGGACTGAGGCGGGGCTCAGCCCGTCCTGGAAGAGTGACTGTCTGTGCGCTCCTTGGGGCTGGGCCTGGGGTCAGGAGTACTTGTAGAAGGCAGGAGTCCAGGGACATGGCCCAGGACACTGACTCAGCGGAGTCCAGAGCAGGAAGGCTGGGGCAGGGATCTAGGGGTGTAGGGAAGGGGGTTAAGGCAGGGGACTGAGTCTAGGAAGGGGTCAGGGTGGAGGATCTGGGGACAGGGTCCCCGTCTGGTTTCTGGAATCAAATGATCCTGGGCTGGAACCTGGAATCTGTCATTTCTTATCTGAAGACATGCAGCCTGTTCCAAAGCTTGCGATACCCCTCTGCCCACTCCTCTGTGAAGTGGGTGCAGCCAAAGGATCAGCCTGTCAGGCTGAGACCATTACATGAGCTGCCACATGCCCGAACCCAGAGGTGGTACCTGGGAGAACCAGATATAAGTAACCGTTGAATCGTGGAGCAATTGGGTGGGGGCGGGGCGAGAGCCCAAAGATGCCTTTAAGCAGGAGCAACTTCCTGACCAGAGACCCCAGGGCTGCCCCTGCTGGGATGTGGTCTGAGCACCCTCCCAGCTGGCCAGGACCTCCTTGGCTGTCTATGGCCCACTGCCCTGGCTGCCCCTCTGACCTCAGTAACTGCCCAAGGGCTGCTTCTGAGCCAAACCCCAGGAGTTCCCTGTGTGCCCAGAACATCAAACTCAAGTCTACGTTTCTAGAGTGTAACTTCTACTGACTCAGAGCCCTTCACCAGCCCCGGTGCACACCTGGAGTATCGAATTCTTCCTTGAACCAGACTGGGCCGTATTTTTTCAGGCGGATACACTTGTGATCTAATGGGAGGCTCATCAGAAATGGCTCAGGTGGGGGCCACTTGGGCCAGATAAGGGACCACTTAGGCCGGATGAAGGACCATCTCAGGCACACGAGGGATGCCTTAGGCCAGGAGAAGGATCACCTTAGGCAGGTGGTGAGGGAGCATCAGGGATAGGTAAGACACCACTTACACCAGGTAAGAGCCCATCGAGGGCAGGTGGTCTCAGGACTTTGGTTCGAGGGCCGAGCACAGGGAGAGAACAGTGTGGCATGGCACCTGTGGGGAGCCCCCACTTGGACCACAGGAGGGGGGCACTGTGTTCCCTCAAACACACTGGGTGTCCGGAATGTTCTTTCCCAGTCTCCCTTTCCTGACTTTCCAAGTCTGGCTCAAAGCCCACCTTTCTCTAATGTCCCACGATTAGAGTGCGTGCTACCGCTGGTTAAGCTGGCTTCTCTGCTTTGAGTCAGGGTCCTTGTCCCCTGCATCTCCTTGTCTCCAGCCCCTGGCCTGGCATGTCATAGCATTTGGGTTCAGGAGTTGGTGGCAGATATGAGTTCAAATCTTGGCCTTAACACTTTCCGTTGCTGATCTCAGGCCAGTTACTCTTGACTGGCTCCTAGGGGTAATGTGCCCTCCGTACGGGGGTGTGGTGAGGGCGCTCACAGTGCTGGTCAGGGTGTGTGGGAAGTGAGGGGCTGGGGGGTGGTGCAGAGCCCGGTGGTTACTGAGTCCTGTGTGTGATGATGGTGACTTGCTGGGGCTGGGTCACTGCTTCCGTACCTCTTTCCTTTGGCAGACGGGTGCTGAGGGAGCTTCCCAGTGTGTCCACAGGAGCAAGGAGTGTGTGCTACACAGGGAACCTGCAGTCTGGGCCCTACCAGCCCAAAGCAGAGTCATTGGTGACACATGGGAGGGGCCCTAACCAGCCAGTGTGTGTGTGTGTGTGTGTGTGTGTGTGTGTGTGTGTGTGTGAGAGAGGGTTGGTGTGGGGGGGGGGGAGGGTTTGGTGAGGAAGTTACAGCCAAGAGAAGCCACTTCCAGAGAGCTGGAAGCTGCAAGAGGTGAGAGCTGAGCCCCACCATGGTCACCCCGAGGCCTGTGGCAGGCTGTGTGGGGTTGTGCAAAGCAGGTGGGACAGGAAGCTGCAGACCCCGGGGTGAGAGCGAGTGGGTGCTGATGATGGTGCCGGGGTGGCAGTCAGTCTGCTCAGCGGGAGGAATCAGTTCTGCCCTGCTGCCTGCTCTCTTAGTGGTGTTAGGGGGCATAAGTAGGAGGCGATTAAGGTGAAAATTAAGTCCTGATACTAGAAGCCCTGGTGGTGTAGTCACTACAAGTTGGGCTGCGATGTGCATGGTTGGCAGTTCAAAACCACCAGCGGCTCTGAGGGAGAAAGACTAGGTTTTCTACTCCCGACAACAGTGACAGCCTCAGAACACCCCACCCCCACCCCCACCCCCGAGACTCGCTCTGAGTCATCCCTGACAGGGTGGCAGTGAGTCTGGGGTTTACCTGGGAGATATTGGGTGTCCTGTTACAGACCACCGCAGGAAAGCAGGCCAGTCACACCAGTGTTTCTGGTTTTGCAGTCCACCCCCAAACCTAAACCCACTGAGTCGATCCCCGACTCAGGGAACCCACAGGACGGACAGGGACTGCTCTATAGAGTTAGAAACTGTAAACCCGTAGGACAGACAGCCCAGCTTTCTCTCACCTTTCTCCTGAGGAGTGGCTGGTGGGCTTGAACCTGCAGCCCAACACTTCATCCACAACACCACCACAGTTCCTGTTTGGTTTCCTGGCAGCCGAACGGGGTATGTGTTGGGCTGCTAACCCCGAGGTCAACAGGTTGAAACCACCAGCCGCTCCCCTGGAGAAAAACGAGAGGCTTTCTATTTTTGTAAAGAGTAAGTCTCGAGAAGAAAAAAAAAAAGAGTAAGTCTCAGAAACCCACAGAGGCCAGTTCTACCCTGTCCTGTAGGGTCTCTCTGATTCAGAATGGAGTTTTTGAGTTGGCGGCACGTACACGTGACGTTTACACTATATCCTACCCTACTAAGTGTGCAGCAGCAGGGGGACACAGTTAGGAAGGCTGCGGCACAGAGACACAGAGGGAGCTGGTGTACAAACGGCGCACGTGGACTCGCTGGCCGAGAGGTGGCCACAAGCCTTCTTCCATGGGTCAAAGAACGCACTGCACTCTCTTTGGAGGGCAACAAAGGGGCTCTGCCCGTAGGTCCGCCAGGACATGAAAGCCGTGCTCGTGAGCGTTCCTAACTCTTGGTGTGGTTGCTGGTCAGCACGACCCTCTCGCCCCATGATGCAGTCTGTGCCCAGTCCCCCTCCACAGACGAGAACGCCGAGGCTCAGACTGTCCCAGAACGGTGCCCCACGACCTGGCAGGGAAGCACCTGTATTTGGATCGTGGCAGCCCTCCAGAGCCTACAAGGGGCAGGCGCTCATCCTCTTTGGAACAAAAAGGCCTGGGGCGGCCTGACACGTGATGTCATTTTAGTTGGACAGTACTAATGGGGTCGGGACAAGGGAAGAGAGGATTTGAGCAAAGGATGGTCCAAAGACTCTGAATCCAAGGAGTCCCCAGGAACAGCCACCAGGTGGCGCCAGGCTGCACATTCCGGGATGGCTGGCTCAGGGCCAGGCCATGGACGCCGGTTATAAGTCTCGGAGGCTTGGTGGGTCTGAGGGTGCTGGATGCCCTTTGCTCAAGCCTCAGAAGGCTTGCTGCAGTCCAGGGCTCCAGGCAGGCATCGTGGTGCCCATCCACCCGAGGTGTCATAAGTAGGGCAGTCACTGACCACTACCTACTAGGTGTAAAAGTAGGACAGTCAGCGACCACCAGCCACTGTTGAGAGTAGGTGTGGTCCGCTCAGCCACGGAGGCAGTCAGTGCCCAGCGCCCTCCCTCTTGCCCAGGGCGGGGCGGGGACAGGTCAGGTCAGCACGCAGGGGCTCTGCCTTATCCGCCGCCAGAAGTTTTGTGTTCGGCTGCTGAGGGCCACGGCTGCGGCTTCCTCGAAGACGCTGCGGATGTTCTCCTGGAGCCGGGCAGAGCACTCGAGGTAGGTCACCGCGCCCACAGACCGTGCCATCTCCTGGCCCTACAGGGACAGCGGGTGGAGCTGCCATGAGGCTGGGCTGCTGGGTAGATCTCTCATTTAGCCTCCCTCGTCCCTGAGCCAGGGCTCTCCGGGGCAAAATAGCAGGGTCGGAGTTTGCTAAGTGCTTGTCCCTGCCCCCTGGCTCTACCAAGCTCACCTAGCAGCCTCCAACCTGGTTCTTTCCTCAGCCCTGGGCTGCATCTCTGTGCCTCTTAAGCCACCAACAAACCGAACTATTTCTTGGGCCAACCCAACACCCCACCCCACCCCAGGAGCGATGGGTGACCCCTCCGGGCCTCAGGCTCCTCACCTATGCAGTTTCCTTCTTCCTTTTACAGGAATAACCTTTAAGCACATTCCAGTGGATAGCCTGAGCTGCCCCCATCCCACGCCCTGTGCCCGCTGGCCACCTGGGGCCTCAGAGGGAGGCTCTCCTGGCTGTGCCCCCACACCCGGTCCCACGGCCCTGCCCGCATTCCTACCCTGTGGTAGGTCACCGGCTCCAGTCTTTTCTTTCGCAGCTTATTCACCATCGTCTTGTCCTTGCGCAGGTCTGTCTTACAGCCCACAACAACAATGGGTATCTCCTTGCAGAAGTGACTCACCTCTGGGTACCACTGTGGGGTGGGAGGGCGGGGCCTGTCAGGAGTGGTCCTGAAGGCCTCTCCCACTTTCAGGCCTGACCTCAGCGATGCCCTCAACTTGGAGGAGGCAGGCTCGGGTGGAGGGCTTCCAGGATATGCTCATCCGTCCCCCAACCCCCGGGGAACCAGGGCCGTGGCTTGAATGCAGAACTGAACATGGCCTTGTAATGGGTCTTAGTCACACAGTGTGCGCAGCATGGTCAGGTCAGGGATCTCACCTCTGAAACCAGGTAAAAGATGTCCCAGAACAAGCGACCTTTAACAAATAACCCCCTGTCCACTCAAGCAGCTCCAAAATGAGGGTGGGGGCAGTGAGTGGCAGTTTTGGCGGCTGGTGAGGTGGGTGGGCTGCTCTGTCATGTCAGCTGCTCTGTGGGGTGTGGGGTCAGCCAGGCCAGATTGGAGAAGTGGGCGGGGTGGAGTGGGGTGGGGTGCCTCTCCAGGAGCAAAGGCCTTCTGGGCTCCTTTGTTCAGATAAAGCAGCTTCCAGAACATTCCAAGCCTGACAACCTCCACCCCACCCTTTCAGCCCTGTGGAACCTGTGCTCACCCTCAGGGTTTTGCTGCAGCCCCCAGAGCCCAGGCCTCGGCTGGCCTCCATGGTCCCTCCACACACACCTCACTTTTAAAGTATTTTTTACAAATCAGGTGACAGTTGAATGGCAAACCCGTTTCCCAGCGGGCCACCCATGCACACTTTGGACATGTTGTCAGGAGAGACCGGTCCCTGGAGAAGGACATCAGGCTGGGTCAAGTGGGGGGACAGTGAAAAAGAGGAAGGCCCTCAATTAGGTAGACAGAAACAGTGGCTGCCACCATGGGCTCAGGCATAGGAGCGATTGTGCATGGGGTCGCCATGGGTCAGAGCCAACCGGATGGCCCCTCCCAACAACGACATGCATATACATCTCATTTCACGACATTCGTTCATCGCCACCCTCACAGGGACCACTGCGCCACCCACTTTTTACTTGTGTTCCCTAACCCTTCCTGCCCTGCCTTCTGAACTTTATCGGACTTTGTCTTGGGACAGCCGCCGTTCTTTGGAGTGCGCCGGCTTGATGACGCTAAGGAGTGTGTGCCTCCCCGGGGTGACTCCACCTAGAGACCTGTCTGTGGTCGGGTGGGTTCAGGTCCAGGCCTGAAGGGTGACCAAGGGCCACAGGTCGGGCTCCCGCCAGTCTCTAGCGGATCAGTTAGACTGCTCTGTTCTTTCATGATTTTAAGTCCCGTTCCACGTTTCCCTCCCACTCGATCCAGGACCTTTGAGTGGGTCCTTTTTCAGAGTCCTCAGCAGTGGGAGCTAGGGCCCCTTGATGGTGCTCACTTGAAGCACAGTCCAGCAGTCACTGGCCACATGGATGGGGCTTGCTTGGTCTTGGCGGGTACTATAGTACACCTGGGCATGGTGGCAGGTCAGAGCCCAGATGCCCACAAACCACCTTGCCACCATAACTGCCCTTGGAAAGGTTTCCCCAGACACCCCCACCTTGCTAAGTCCAACAGTCAATTCCCTGGGCTTCCCCCTGGGACCCCACTGCCCTGTGGGCCTCTAGGCCCTCTTCCTCCTTCTCATGTTCCCCTCATCTTCCTCAGGCTCTGCCCCCGTGTGTCCTGCCTTCTTGACATACAGGTACAGAAGTATCCACTTCTAACCTCCAGCTGACACCTGCACCTAGTGCCCGGCCCGCCTGCCTGCTCTCCTCCCCGGGAGAGGAAGTGCCTCCTCCTTACCCTGGTCACCCTCCCACCATGTCCAGTCCTTCAGCAAGTCTTGGCGCTCTGCCTTCAGACCAGATTGAGAATCCAGCTGCCCCTCATTCCTGCTGCTAGCACCCCGGTCCCAGCAGCCACCATCTCTCCTGGTCCCCAGAACAGAGCCCTGCACGTGGTAAAACCCGAAAAGAAAAACCCAAACTCGTCACGATTGAGTGGATTCTGACTCCTGGCCACTTCATGTGCTACAGAGCTGGACCACCCCAAGAGGGTCTTACGCTGGTAACGCACTGGTTAAGCGCTACCAGGCTCTGAACTGAGAGGTTGGTGGTTTGAATCCACCTAGCGGCTTTGCAGGAGGACAGGCGTGGTGGCGCTCTGCTCCCAGGAGGGCCGAGGGGGGCAGTCCTGTGCTATCCGACAGGGTCACTTAGAGTTGTAGCTGACTGGACAATACAGCAGCAGCAGCACTTTCTCCAGACTTTTCTTCCGCAGAGCCCTTAGGTCAGCCACCAACTGCAAACCACTCTCGGCATCACGCTCCCTGCCACCGGAATGAGCTCTCCCTAAACACGGCCGTCAGATGAGATCTTGCTGTCCAGGGCGGGACAGCTAGGGACAGACAAGGGTTTCTGGACCAGCTGACAACTCAGCAAAGAGCCAGCGTGTTCGGAACTCGACAATGGGGGCAGATCTCTGGGCCTCTATGTCATGCCAGGCCCAGTTCTGGCATCAGCCGGCCCGGAGTCAGGGAGGGGCTGTGGGACCCGGCCATCAGGACCTACCCGCTCTGAGACGTTATGGAAGCTGTGAGGGTTGGTGACGTCGAAGCAGAGTAGTAGGACGTTGGCCTCGGAGTAGAACAGGGGCCGCATGCGGTCATAGTCATCTTGCCCTGGGCAGAGGGGAGGTGGTCACTCCCTCTTGCCCACTGCCAGCAGTGCCCCATCCTCAGGAGGTGTCATCAGCAGATGGTGGGCTAGGTTGGAGGGCATGGGTTGGTCCCACCTGAAGGAGGCTACGTGGGGTGAAAGCCGCTCTGGGAAGACCAGCCTGGGTGAGACCACGTGCTGAGAGCAGCCTGTTCTCGAAGGAGTACGGCCAGGCCTGGAGGACTGAAGGCTGGTCACCCAGGAACCAGCTCTGCCAGAGGCTTGGGGAATGAAGAGGGAGAGGTGGGCAGAGACCCTGGCACAGGTATATGAGCCCACCAAAGGCCAGGGAGCAGGTGGGAGTCCCCATGCTTAGCTTTGACCTTCTGGTATAGACTTGACTCTGAACTCTCGTCCGGGCAAGGTCAGGAGGGAAGAGTAAGGTCAAAGCCAAGGTCAGATGTGTCTTCCATAAGCTACTGGGGTAGAGTGCTAGGGGATGGGAGCAGGGACAGACAGTCTACCCCTTGAGAGCAAAGTGCCCCAGAACATGGGGGCTACCTTAGCCAGGTTCCCTGGGGACTCTCCACCCTGGCTGACACCTGACCCTGTGAGGCTGGTTAGCCTCCTGGGGGCCCTCGCTCCCCCTCCCCTCCCCCAGGCCCGGCACACTCACCTGCTGTGTCCCAGAGATTGAGGCACACGGGCTTGCCTCTCACCTGCAGCGTGACACAGTACCGCTCAAACACTGTGGGAGTGTAGTCCTGGGAAGAGATGATGATTGAGGGACCATTGCTGAGATAGGCAGGGTCCTGGGATACTGAGGCCAGTGTCCTAGGAGCGCCCCCAGCATCGTGCCCACTTTCGTGGCAGTAGAGAACAGAAGTTGTTTCTGGAAGGCTCCAAGCTGTCCCTCGAGGACAGGGTAGAACCACCCCGGTGGATTTGAGCCACAGCCCCCAAGCTCTGCGTCCAGAGAAAGCGTGCCTCCTGAGTCCTCACTGCCCTCATCTGCAAAATGGGATGACAAAGACCCACAGAGTGTGGGGGAAAGGGTCCGATGAGACACCCAGTAGCACCCTTAACATGGTGCTGAGCGCAACACAAGCCCTTGGGCCATGCTGTCACTTTGGTCTTTGTGTGCTGGCGTCCGAGCCTTCACCCCTGCTCTTCCTGCCTGCGGGGAAGGCATTCACCCACATGCCTGTGGTTGTTCCTTTAGTCACTCACAACCATTCGCACCTCCTTAAGGCCCTGCCTGGACACCCACCCTGCGGGGAGAGCTGGGTCCTGTCAAGACCCCGTCGGCCAAGAGTCGCCTCCCTTTCATATCTTTCCCAACCCCCTTCCTGTCCCCCCTGTCCCCCCTCTGGCAAGGGCCCCATCTAGATGAAGATGTGGGCACAATGAATGGCTCTAACACTAAGAACCCACTGTCCTGGAGCGGATACTGACTCATAGGGACCCTATGGGGCAGGGTAGAACCCTCGCTGTCGGTTTCTGTGGGACTACAGCTCTTTACAGGAGTAGAAAGCCTCATCCTGTTCCCTCGGGGAGACTGGTGGTTTCAAACGGCTGATGTTGCACTTAGAAGCCCACCATGTAACCACAACAGTACCAGGGGTCCAGAGGCCTTCAAAATGCCCTGCCATGTGTGCCCTTGGCCCTGAGGGGTCAACAGGCTTGGGGGGACCCTGCCCCTCCTGCCTATGCCAGGTGGAGCCCCCACTCAGGAGGTTTTCAAGCTGTGTGCCTGGAGCTGGGTCCTGGTCAGCTATGGATCCTTGAATATGGGTATGGCTGGGGTGGGGTGGGGACAAAGCATAGTGGTGGGGTGGGGAGGTGAAGGGGGTAGAGCCACTCTGTCCCTCTACCAGCAGGCCCAAGCAAGAACCTCCTTCATCAACTCATATCCCCTTGCCTGCTCCCGGGCCCCTCTGCTCAGACCCTCTGTCTGGTAGGGGACCATGGGACATGGTGGCTGGGAGAGCTGACTTTGAAATGGGAAGTGTCTAATTGTATGACTCAGGCCAATCACCCTGACTCTCTGGGCCACAGCTCTCTCACTGACTAAGGGGATGATGTTCAGGGAGCCTCTCAGTGGGGTGGAGGGCCCAGAACCTCCTGAGCAGGTGGCCAGGGCGGGGTCAGCACCCAGCAAGGCCACTCCTTTCCCCATTCGCTGACCTCTGCTTCAGCAGGGGCTTGGCGGCCCTGAGCTCCTGCTGTGTCAGGACACAGACACCACCCCTGCCCCTCTGAGGACCATCATTGACCTTTGCAGTCCCGGGTTCTACCTGACTCACGGCAGCCCCTGTGTTACAGTGTAAAACTGCCCCTCGGGGCCTCCTGGCTGTAATCTTTAGGCAAGAAGATGGCCACATCCTTCTTCCTGCCGAGTGGGTTCAAGGCTGCACATCTTCATGGATACTGACTGCCTCATCTTTCTCCTCTGGAGCAGCGGGTAGATTTGAACTGCTGAACTTTCTGTTTGTAGCCAAGCTCTGTAACCATTGCGCCACCCGGGCAAGTCTATAGGTGACAGTCAGCACAGCCCCCATTGTCCTGATGGGAATACTGAGGCCCAGAGGTGGGAAGTGCCCTGTTCAAGGACACTGGCTAGTGACTGAGCCTCTCTGGCTCCAGACAGCAGGCTCGGTCCCTGGTTTCCTGCTTCCATGAGGTCACCAACTCCACCATCTTCTTTGTCCCTGGTGCCCAGCACGGAGCAGAAAAGCTTGGGGTCCTCCTCTAGCCTGTGGCCCCCTCTCCCTAGCCTCATGCTAGGACATCATTTAGAGACTACAACAGGGTTATACCTCCTGTTGTGTTCTTTGAACTCCTAGGTGGGTCAGCTTCTGCCCAAGGGACCAATAAGCACCTACTCTTATCAGCAGAGCTGTCCTGAGCCAGAAGGCAGGATGGCCTATGCTGAGCAGGACAGAGGTGACTGAGCCTCAGGTTGGCCCTTGTGACTCTCAGAGATGGAGCATCACTCACGGGGGACACGTGTGTCAGGGACTTCCCTGGGAGTCTGGGTGCAGGCTAGCAGGGCTGAGCAGGCAGGGAGGTGGTGGAGCGGGGCGGGGGGCAGGGGGTTTGGACCCTGTGGGGAGAACTGCCCCCCACATTACAGCCAGGGAAGGAACCATCCCACCTGCTTTCTGCACTGAAAATGCAGCTGGAGGAGGTTTGGAGAGTGGTGGGGTGGAGGTGGAGGTGGGGGTGGGGGCTGGGTCCATAGGCAAAGAGCACTGGAGCTTTGGACAGTGTCTTAGTGGGGCCGGGGACACTTAGACCCTCTACTAGCACCAGATGGTGTCCCCCGACTCTGTGGCCTCAGTTTCCCCACCTTTGTGGCTCTCCGACCCTGTGTGTTTAGCAGAAGAGGCCTGGCTAGTGTCTGGAGTCAGAGGGGCCCCAGGGAACGCCTACTTCCAGGCAGGGGCGGAGTCCCACAAGGCCAGGGCCCCCTCTTCTCCCCCACTCCCTTGGCCAGGCCCCCTGGTGAGTGCCAGACCCTTATTCTCATCTAAATCTCTCAGATTGGACTGGGCCTCCCAGCAAGGCCATCTCTGTTGGGGAGGAGGTTGGGAAGGAGGCGGGTCCCTGTAGCCCTGGGGCAGCCAGGCCAGAGCCCTCCCGGCCCAGGGCCTGTCCTGGCCCCAGAGAGGAGCCATAATAACTTGCTTCCCACATGGGCAGCATCTGGGGTCCTGGAAACCCTGTCTCCCCGACAACTTAAAAAATGTGTGGCTGGCCAGAAAGGATATGAGTCAGCCCCATAAACCACAAAGCGGGAGTCAGGCTGGACGTGGCCACAACGCACTACAGAAAGGGCCCCACGGCAGGCAGCCCACCGCTCTTGTCCCCCCAGCTCGGACGCCACAGAGCCCCACACCACCAGGGGTTCAGCAGGGTGCTGGGGAAGCAGAGGGTGGAAGCAGAGACTTGGAAGCAAACCCTGAGAGACTGATCTGAACGGGGGTTACTGGGTGGACCTGGGTCACAGCGGTGTCTGTCCAGTCCACAACTCCGTGTGGCAGTTGTGAGGGAGCCAGGCCCTGAGAGCCACACAGTCAGCTAAAGGGAAATTACCTTGCTGACCCAGCACCCTAAATCCCTCAGGGACAGTCCACAGGGTGCGGGGGAGGGGGTTGGGCCAGAGAGCTAGGTGGGAATGACACCTCCCAGTCTTCAGGGAGTCGCTGCTGTGCGCAGAGGTGAACAGAGAAGTGACCGGCAGGCTGAGGAGGAGGCACAGAGGGGCCAGGAGACTTGCTCAGGGGGACAGAGCTGTAAGTGGCTAGATCGCAGGCCTGGCTCCTCCCCCGCCCACCACCCCGCCCCCCCCCAAGCCACGGTGCTGCCAAGCCCAGTACCCGGGGTGCCTGACCCCTCCACCCCACCCCGCGTGTCGTGGGGGCCGCTCGCCCACTTTACAGATAATGCCCCTCAAGCTGGATGGCAAAAGCCCAGTCCTCTGGAGTCCAGCACCCCCCTCCCCCCACGGGCCGCCCGGGCACTCACCTCGGGGAAGTTCCCTTGGGTGAAGACCATCAGCAAAGACGTCTTCCCGCAGCCGCCGTCGCCCACCAAGACCACCTTGGCGGACCGCAAGCCTGGCGGGTCCTGGTCGTCCGCGGGCCGGGCCGCGTCCATGCCTGGCCGCGAGGGTCCGGGCGCGGGGACCGGCGGTGGCGGCG